AGAATGATCATTAATTCTTATGTTATTTGTTTGTATGAGTACTTGACTATTCTATCACATGTTGTCATGCTTACTGATGTCCAATGTTGGGATTCTCTACCTAATTTCCTTTCTAATTGTATTTTAAACGTGCAAAAGTGAACAAGCAGGGGCTAAAATCATGAATGGATTTGGAGGAAAAGAGGCTTGCAAGGGAAAGTCAAGGAAAAGGAAAGACAAACAAGGAGTTGAGCCTGAAGGAGAAGACAAAAACTATTTTCGGTGGAATATAGCTATGGAACGTGAATTAGCTGATATACTTCGGGAGGAGCGCAGCTTAGGTCACAAAGGAGATGGTGGATGGAAGGCAGTTGCTTACAATACTGCTGCAAATATATTAGCTGCACAATTTAATCTCCAGATAAGTGTTGATAATATTAGAAATCGTGTTAAGTCATGGAAAAAGTTCTATGGAGTAGTGAGTGATATATCAAGTCAAAGTGGATTCAGTTGGGATTCAACAAAAAAGATGATAAGCGTAGATGAAGATCATGTTGGGGAAGAATACATGAAGGTAAATATATTAAAAGTTATTTTTTTAAAATCATGTGCTTTTTTTCTCTTTTTATTGTTAAAGAGTACTTATAAGATTCTTATTTGACTTTGATTATTTGTTTGGTAGTCTCATGAAGATGCTAGAGGTTTTCGATTTAAAGTTATAGAAAATTGGGATGATATAGTAGATTTATGTGGCAAAGATAGAGCCATTGGAGAGGGCGCTGAAACAGGTGCAGATGCAACTGAGGTTATGACTCCTACTAATGAAGTTGATCATGTTGATTTGGATGGCGATACACAAGATTTAGAAGATATTCATGTTATTGATGATATTTCACCAACCTCAACAAATGGTCAAAAGAGCAGAAATCGTGCATCAAATTCTTCTGATATTCTTCCTACAAAGAAAAGAGGTGCTGTCAAAGATGTTATTGCTGATTTGATTGCTAGGATGGCTTTATCATTTGAAGAGTTTATCCACGCTGATACTAAGAACCTTGATCCAGCAGATGCATATGATGAAGTACAAGCAGTACCAGGTCTTAGTGAAAATGAACAACTCAAAGCATGTGCTTGGCTGATAGAAAATGACAAACAATTTCAGATGCTGAAGGCACTCCCAATTGCGAAAAAAAAAGAGTATGTTGCTTATGTTTTTGCACGTGGGGAGTGATTTGGTTTGCTAATATGCTCTGTTTGTTTAAGTTGAGTTATTTAGTTCATCGAATGTATGCAACTAACTTCCATCCTGATGAACTAAACAATCAATATGAAATGGCTGAACTGTAGAGCAAAACAAGAAATAAGGTCTAGTTCTTTTCTTTCTTTTCGTAAATTTTGAACAGCTATAAATATCCAAATTAGAACATATATAAGAAACTACTAGTTAGACTACTAGTTAGGCTAACTATTCTTGCAATACCGACTATTCAACGGGTTCTGTGCTAATTAGTGAATGGGTGCTTACCTCAGGAACTTCATCATGAGGACAGTGGCCAGCTGGACTGACCTCATAATCTACTAGTTAGGCTAACTATTCATGCAATACCGACTATTCAATGGGTTCTGTGCTAATTAGTGAATGGGTGCTTACCTCAGGAACTTCATCATGAGGACAGTGGCCAGCTGGACTGATCTCATAATATGGAGCTTCAGGCACCTGCTGCTTCACCTGAAGGCCCCATAAGGGTTTCACCCAGGGGTCTTCTTTTCCATACATAAGACAAATTGGTACATTGTTCATGTGACATCTACAGCAAAAGTTGCACTGGAGCTTCTCAATTAACTTGGACCAGAAAAAGGAAGGCAGATACAAAATTGTCTTCATGAATATAATCCCTTAATATTTCCTACCTGGATAAAGCATCCCTAAATGATAGTTGTCCTTGAGGCGCCAACATAATTGAGGCAAAAGATGCAGCAGCAGCTGGATGCTCTGATGTCTCAAGTATACGAGAAAATACTTTGTCGACATTTGTTGAATGATCTGCATAAACTTGTTTAAGTACCTCCGCTATACTCCTAGGATCACTGTTCGCACCACTTTGCAAAACCCAAGGGAGGTGTCGTATAACAGTGTAGCTCGGAAGAAACAAAATGCAACAACAATAAGCAATGCCTGAGAACAATCCATGTTACACATAATGTAGAAATCGTGTATAAAACTTCAATCTTTCTTGTTAGTGCTTAACAGTATTCCATACATCTTTAATCTCTAAATCCAACTTTAGGTATACTACTAACCGGGTGAATAGACACATACTAATGGGCCCTACGATCACATAGAAAGATGTTAACAAATTACAATAACTATATTATACAGTACCAAGCAGATTATTAGCATAGAGGCTTACTTCTGTCAAACACTAGAACTAGCATAAGAATGGACAATAAGACAACTATTGCAACTTGCTCATAGCCATGCTCTAACCTCTATCAAAATCACATTTTCTTGCAGAAAAACAAAGTAAAACACCGGTTTAAGTCCCTTCTCAACTTATCCCAATATGCAGACCTGCCATCTAATTACTTGTAGTAACTTCTTCACTTGCAATAAAGCATTGAGTTAAATCCAATACTCATCATTTCATATGATAAAATCAGAATATATACACTCTGAAAGAATATTATTTGTTTCATAAGAGCTTTCAACCAAGAAAGTACATCAGTGCATGAAGCATTTGTCATAATGCTGATTTCTGTGACGCATAAAGAAGGAAAACGATATAAGGAGTCAGAATGGCTGGAGTAAAATGCATGAATGATTTAAATTTCTACCTCAATGCCGATTGTCCATGACAATACAAATTGTGGGAAAAGGAGGGTCAGCATGGCTAACACTATATGAAAGCGTGCAACAGTGGAATCTAAGTGCCCTACTCGATAGTTTCTTGCCCAGAGATTCAAGAACATATTAACTTTTAGGAAGAATATTATGATAACACGAGCCATCATAAGAAATTCAACAGGATCTAGAAAACCATAAGATCTGCCATAACTGCAAGGTGTTATTTTGGCAGCATATCACTGGAAAACAAAGTAGAAGTCATAGCGATCTCATACCAGATGAACCATGTATTTAGCTCAAATTAGCACAACAACAATGCAAAGTGAAGAAAGGAAACACATAGATCAAGTCACGGAGGTAGGCAGAAGTAACCCGAGCTAGAATATCAGTATCCGCCAAAATGAACATATAAAACATGATTCTCTGTGCTTTCATCAGATAATGGAACAAGGAAAAAAGTTAGGGCTATAATGTACCTCTTCTACGAAGTAACGAACTTGATCTTGCCATAAATCAATAGAGTAGACGAGCTCGCTTGCCCATGGTTCAGATTTCTCTCCAAAACCCCACAACAAATCTTTCGTGTCCGACACACCTTCTTCCTCATTACGAGGGGCAGGGTCTTGAAATGGCAATGACCTACCCTGCCCGAGGAAATCAATTGCCCATACTCTAAAATCAAGCCCCAAATCCTTCAGTTGCTTCTCATAGTGAAAAGAACCAACCCCAAAACCAGGCAGAAGCAACACTGGAGGGGAGCTCACATCCAGCTTTCTCATAATGCACATTGAATTTGGGCTTCCATTCCCAAAAGCAACTACTTACTGTTGCACCCGATTCGCCTTTGGATTCATCTGGTAGACCAGGAATCAAAACTTTAGTTTCTGGTTCCCCTGTTTTTGAAATACTTGCATCCTCTTCCCCTCCAATTACATAGCCATCAGAGCTTCCATTTGATAAAATTGGACCAACATGTTTGAAGTTTTCACTGGTGTTTAATGACCTAAAACCTCCTTGGTGATTTAGTTGCTTCAAGAAAGGCTGATCTAAATTGTAACAGCTCAAAAACTTCCTTCTGACATTAAATTTAGCACCGAAAACTCTGTTTTTTCTAAAACCTGGGAGACTGAATTGATGTGAACTTGAGCTTTTCACTAAATTAACAGCATGAAAGCATGGTGCAGAACTGTATGAGAGTACTTCCATACCCACAAACTGAATTCTGCAATGATCAATCAAAACAATGATTCAGCAACAATTTCACTTTACCCTTTATTGCATGAGACGAATTGAGTAAATGAAAAAGAATAATTTCCAAATCACAAGTTGTATGTAACTTTCATCTCATGCTTCCAAATTTTCCCCAACACACAAAAAAAACCACAACTGATATGAACAGAACTTAATATCAATTACCAATCCTGAACTTCAGGTAACTTGAGAAAAAAAGATTAAACAAAATTAGCAACCAGTAACTTTGCTGCACAACTCTAAAAGAAACACACAGATTTATAGCAAAAGAAGAACTATAGAAAAACTGATTTCTTTATTGTTCTGGGTTACCTCTAAAGTGAGCAGCGAAGTGTCATTAGAGTTGCGATGCTTTGTGGAATGCTCAGTCTTCTCCAAGTATTCAGGAGATGCTTGCAAAATCTAGAGAGAGAGAGAGAGAGAGAGAGAGAGAGAGAGAGTTGGGCAGTTGATTAGGCAGGCAGTTGATTAGGCAGGCTAAATGTAGTACATGGCTAAAAATTTAGCCCTCTAAAATATTAATTTTTTAGAGAATAGTGCAGGCTAAATTTTTCCATCTCCAATCATGTAGGGCTATATTTTAGAATTCTTCATATTTTATTATATATATATCCAGCTATCACATCAACTTACTTTACTATTGGCTTTTAAAAAGCAAATGCATGGGCCCACAAAAATTTGGCCTAGACTAAAGGTGGGCTATATGTGGCCTAGTTGGAGGGCTAAAGGGCCAAATGTGGCCCTCCAAATTTGGCCAAAATTTTGTTTAGTCCATGGCTGGAGATGGGTTTTGCATTATTTTAGGGCTATATTTGGGATATAGCCCATGGCTGGAGATTACACGCTTCTTCTTGCTTTAATAACCAAGGAAAAAAAACGTACTTTTAAATTTGTGTTTCATATCCTTTTGCTAAATATGAGAATTTATCAAAAATAGCCAAAACTTGATCCTTGATTTCAAAAATGTCATTTTTTGTAAAATATTTCAAATATAGCAAAAAACTCACATAAATAGACACAAATGCCCTTAAATTTAAAACCTGTATAAACCGAAAAAATAAACCTTATTAAATAAAAATTTGGAATATTTTTAACCCACATTTGTATAGAAGAACAGAAGTTGAAATATATCATCCTATTTATTGATATTAGTCAATTTAAACTTAGTCCCAATCCAAGCATCACCAAACACCGGATAAGTGTTATTCAACTTAAGCCAATTCAAGCCAAGACAATTTCTGAGCATAGTTCATGCCAAGACAATCTTCCGAAACAAACGAGGCTGAAGGGACCAACTTGGCAAATGACTGAAAGACTCGTTGCCGGATCAATTGCGCAAGTCTATCCGAATGACACCATTATTTTATCTTCTCTGATGGACCAATCCGTCAAGTGT